GGGGGGGGGGGGAGACACAATGCCGATTCCCCTCTCCATCACTCGCCGCGAGCTCCGCCAAAGCTCGCCGCCATCCTCCTCGATCGCGGGGTTGACATAACGAAAGACAACAAAAGGAGATTCATGTCAGACGAGAACCCTCTGGACAACAAAAGGAGACGTTTTGTCGAAGGTTTCGCTTTGTCGAAAAACCCCAGACTCGATCCACAAAAATACACAAAAATGGACTTCGCGTTTTTCGCACTTAGAGCCGATTTCGCTTAAAATTATGGAAGCCTAAGTGTATATAGCTCCGCGCCAAGGTCCGGTGAAGCCCTGCGGAGGCGAAACAACCTCCTTCACTTGAAGGCTCTGCAACACTTACGACACGTCAGCCACCTACTTCAACAAGTCGACTTCTACGAGCTCACGTCTACCCCGGCAACGTGTACAGCCTTCCCTTCACGCTAGTTGTGTAGTTCTCTGCCGCCTTTGCCGCCGCCAGCCTTGCCGTCATGTATCGCTTGACTCCGTGTCTCGGCTTCGTGTGTTGGGTGATGTGACGGCCACGCAGCAGGACCGGCGTGCCGCCAGCATCTCAGAAACCGTCCTTCTTGGTGTCGCTCCGCGTCAGGTGGGCATGGTCTGCCTCCTCCGGCAGTGACCCGCCTCGCAGAGATGTGCCGGTTGTTGTACCATATGTGTGAGTGTCTGCCCGCATGGCGCGGGCCATGGACGATGTGAAGAGGATGTTCTTTTGCCCGGCTGGGCCTGGTGGAGCACAGACATGGTGTATTTGGGGTGTGCGCGTTGATTGGTTGTGTCTCAGGTGACGGACGATGTTTGTACTGCGGGGTGTCTATCGTGTGGTCATTCGTTGCTAAGCGGTGCTAAGGAGGGACGAGGGGCGGCGGCCAGGACGTGTGGATATGGAGGGGACTTAGGAGTGCTTATTGCGTGTGGTGTCAGGCTGAGAGCTACTCGTGAACGGATGGGTATGGTGCTGTGATGGAGCGGGATCATTCGAGAGCATACGGAGAGAGAGAGAGGGAAAGGGTGTCGAACGAAGCAAGAGAGGCAGGGGAGAGGAGAGAGGGAGAGAGGAGCGTATGTGCAGTGATGGCGGGTACAGGTGATAGACAGAGATACGCATGGACGGCTGCTGGGGGTGTGTGTATGTCTATTCGACTGGCCCATCGCCTCACGGGCGGTGGTTCTTACTGATGGTTGCGTATTGGCTACGGGACGGATGGATGGACGGTGGAATGAAGCACGTTGTGTCAGTATGATCTCGTCCGTCGGGTCCAGCCGACACACACATGACTGTCTGTCAGCATCAAACATCAGCACGACGACAATCAGACATCGACAGAGGAAACGGAAGCAGGGCAGGGCACAACTGAGTCAGCACGATACGGAAGAACAACACACACACATGAATAAATGGACGGATGGCTAGGACAGCAAGAGAGAGAGAGGGCAGTCTTCAGTCTGTCAATGGCGTACGGGGCGAGGAAGCACGGTGGCGTGGAGCAAGACAAATGCATGGAAACCAGGCAGATAGTCGAGCAAGCAAGCCTCAAGGGCTGATAGCTGTCGAATGGACGTGACTACATCACGACAGGAGGCTGGGTGGAAGAGGAGGAAAGACAAGAAGAAGGGGGAACAGATACATACAGACATGGGCATTCGGGGCGACATTCACACGGAAGAGGGAGAGGGGGTCGATGGCTGCAGACACACAGCAAGAAGGCGAAAGGAGTGAATCGCACGAGTGGCGATTCTTGATGATTGGCTTGGTCTTCAACAGGAGTGCTCACCCCTTGCAGCAACTACGAGGGATGCAGCAAGGACGAGAGCAAGCTTCTTATCCATGACTGATGGAATGAGGCCGTCCGTTCCAGAAGACGTTCTTCGCTGCTTTTGTTTAGTTCAAATCTTGCGTTGCCCGTGTAAACTGACTGACGTGCACTATTTTTGTCATCTTCAGCTTGAGTTCGCATTTCGGAGGTTCGGACAAGAGAGAGGCGCCAGAGGGTGGCGTAGAAAGCTACCTGTGGCCCACGAGCCCACGGGAAGGCACAGAAACTCGGTGTATTGTTTTGTTTGTTGAGTATATGCGGCGAATGTTGCGGAATGTGAAGGCTACAAATACAAAGGCCTCGAGAGAAGCCTTATGCAAAATCCCGCCCACTTGAATAGGAGGGGGCCGTTAAATGGCAGACGTGTAGGTGTTCGAGGCAGAAAGATGACAAGCAGGAAGACGAGTGCAATTTGGGTAGGATGGCGGCCCAGGTACTTTTGAGAAAAGAAAAAGGAGAATGAGGAAGCGAGGGAGGGAGACACAGCGCTCAGCGCGCTTCCGTCTGTTGAGAAACCAATTAGGCTATAGCCGAGGTTATCCATCTGCGGGCCGACACATCGTTTCCTCAACACCGTCCACTTCTGCGAGATCACGGAAACTGGCCGGCGGGTCGCAATTCATTCCTTGGTCCACAGTCTTTTCCATGCAGTGCTAATCAATTGCTGCCACCGCCGACTTCTTCAGCTGTGTGGATCACCTCAGGTCGATGATGCTTCACCGTCGGGGGCGGAGCAGCGCCCGGCGCAACGATGTATACTAAAAAAGATACACATATCAGACAAAGGCAGTCGTCGATGCATTTCCAAATCAAAGCGTCTCTGATGCATGCATGCATGCATGCATGGCCATTGATGGAGGCTTCAGGTTTTGTTACTTTTGATGTCCTGTGCGGTGTCCGTGGGCCCGGCTTTGCCCTGGGTGTCCCATGGAAGTGCCCGAATGAAGAAGGTGCCACCGCTGTTGATCATCCAGTCG